TAGGTAGTTTTTAGGGCGCAAACAGTCATTCCACGTTTGCTCACCAGGATCGTTGTGAACGTCCATCTAAGGAGGAATCACCCAACTCAAACTACACGCATTATTGGTTGCATATGTTGTGTGCGGTCAAATGGTACTTGTCTGTAGCTTTTATCTCTGAGAAGAAAGTTGGATGAATAGCAAGATCGCATCTGGATGATTATGTGTATTGGTCTGCATGTGTATAAAATCAGTGATATCTGCTGTGTGAGAAAATCATTACTGAATATGCTGCCAATCAAGTATATCTATTGGCTGTGCCCGACGGGTAATTTTTATGTTGGGTTATGGTCAAAGTAATAAATAACGAAAAACTGAGGAGAATTACGGGAAATCATCACCCTACCCGCGTTGTGTGTAATTACTGTTAGCAGGTATCCATATGGCTTGTAATTGGACAGTGTACAGTGAATATAATTATTTCTTATCTCTCTCATTTTTGAAATTCAGCAAATTTGTATATATAATTTTTAGAATGGATAAGAAAAACTACTAATTTCTAGCTTTGAATCTCAATTAAGTGTATTTGAGACAAGAATCCAATGTAATATCATCAACAACTTACAGCTTAGACCACCAGTAATGCCATCTCAGAAGCAGATTTTACATCACATCAGAGCCAAAGATTGATAACAAGCCTGATGACATTTAGGCAACACGTACAACTAAGTGCTAAGTTAACATCTTGAAGAAAAACCTACATAATGTTAAAGAAAACAGCATGATGTCAAAAAAATCGGCATAATGTCACTTTTCAAGATACGTGATACACGTGCCGATCTCCTGTCGGTGTCTCCGGGCCAAACGGCATCTTTACATTCCTCATCATCAACTGTCCAATTTTAACATTACCCTACCTGTGCATCCACGTGCACGCCAGAACAATTCATGCTCATTACTAAATAATATCGTCTGAATGTCACAATCGATTTCTTTGGCCAAATCAACTTTTACCATCACCTTCATACCGTCAAACGGAATCGAAACTGCATGTTAATATCCTTTTTTGTTTTGTTCTGTTGTCTGTCTGTTGTTGCATGTGAAGGGCGGATATTGAACTGGTTCATGTTATTGAGTAGCGCAATTGTGAAACATCGAAAAGACTATAATCAGCGTACATAAAACAAGTACTTACCAAGATGTGAGAGATCTGATAGCTCTGAATCTGAAACAAAAAGATTACAAGTTAAATTACATTTTTATTATGCGTCGATCTATAGTCTCATCAACGAATCGGACAAGGTAGAAGCAGACAGTCAAGGATTTGTTTATCTTCTGATTCTCATAGTCTGTCGTGAGAATCCAGGTGCACTTGACATAAGTCATTTTTTGATAGTTAATTTACTATTTTAGTGTAATTTTTAGAAATTCTAGGGTCTGCAGATAATTGTGGTGTAAACAGATTTCAAAATATGGTACTTCTTCATAATTTGCAATGAGCGGCACAAGCCAAATGAAGGTAGATGCTTCCGCCGCTGGTCAAAATACTTATCACGTTCTGGGCGAATTTGCAAATTTTAAGCGAAATATTTCTTCGTCATGACGGATGTAGCGGTTTAGTAATAGGAGAGTCCAAAAAGATTGTGGAAGCGCCTGGTCCGTAAGTTATGCATTCATCCCAAAAATTGCTAAGCTCTAGGTAATTCGCATGTCTTAAGTTTGTGAATTGGGATGCTAAGAAATTGAAGGGTACGGACCTTGAGTTTTAATATTTTAACTGTAATTGTTAAGGCCTGAAATGGGGGAGGGGTTCTATGTTGTGTCCAATACATGAATTCCTTCTTCAGACACACCGTATCATTTTTATATGCTTCCTTGCTTTGCGATTAAGCGTCATCATGTATGATCAATTTTGAGTATGATCTTTCAAATTCGTAGATGTGGCAACAAACCTGTTTTTAAAGCTTTAGTAGTAATTTCTTATGCTATGGAGAAATATACACATAAATGTCTATTTTCTAAAGTTACACAAAATTTATGAAACGAAAAAACAATATTTTTTATTTTATCTTAAACAGGAAGATGAGTCTTTGCCGATTTTGGCTCAATACTTTTTGAATCACCTCGCTTCAAGAATACCAAAAACACGAGTATTTTCTTGCTGCAAGAACAAACTCTTACACACTTTCTACGTACGGTTTTAACACCCACCAGTTCGCGAGGTATAAAAAGATCCATAAAAATTGTGTCGTTTTCACTATATACATTTAAATATGTTTTTACGTTATGTTGACTATTTGCTATTCCGAAAATATATATTATTAAGTTTATTAACACCCCCTCCACCCCAATTCGTCTTTCACTCTATCAGACAGTTATATTGTATGAACTTGCGGTTATTTATTTATAAATACAAGCATACTCTGCTGAAACCAGAGCATAACCATGAGACAAGGTGTAAAACACTATCACTCCAGACTTGAAGGATGAATAAGCAAATTGGGCAAAGGTCATTTGAATATATAGGCCCACGAGTCTATAATCTTCTGCCTGATGAATGTAGACAACGCACTAGTTACTATACATTCAAAAAACGTATAAAACTGTGGATACAAGAACAATCGTATATGATGAGTGAAATAATAAATTAATGTATACTAAGTGACATATAAATCCGAACACCCAGTTTAAATGGTTTTATTTTAATAAAATTTTGTATAAGTACTTAATGAAGCATAATAAAAATTTAATAATGTGTAGATGCACCCTGATGTGCTACGCATTCTCCAACGCGCCTGGGCATGCTTCTGATCAGGTGGTCAATGTCCTCCTGTGGTAATCTCATTCCAGGCAACCACCAACTCCTCTCGAAGTGCTTCTAGAGTCTGAAGAGGACGTTGCAAATTGAGCAATCTCCTACCCATCATATCCCACACGTGCTCGATTGGGGATAAGTCGGGAGATCTTGGTGGCCATGGTAACAATGTGACATCATTATGTTGAAAGAAGTCTATTGTGACTCTTGCAACATGTGGTCGGGCATTATCTTGTTGGAAAGTTGGATCTGCCAGGGTGTCAAGATAGGGTAAAAGATGGGGTTCTAGAACTTCGTGGATATAACGCTGCGCATTCATGTTACCTCTGATGAAGATTAAAGGTGACCTGGAACCATAAGCTATACCACCCCAAACCATAACTCCAACAGTGTAATGAACATGTCTTTCAACAAAAAACTGTGGATTCCTCCTTTCACCACGTCGCCTTTTAACCCTGGCACGACCATCGTGCATGCCTAAACAAAATCGAGACTCGTCACTAAAGACAATACTGTTCCATTCCTGATCCCAGAGTGACCGTTGTCTGCACCACTCAAGGCGATTACGTCGGTGTTCTCGAGTTAAAGGGAGGACTCAGTGTGGCCGGTATGAAAACAAGCCAAAACTTCTCATTCGTCGGTAAACACTTCGCATGCCAATAGGTCTTCCGTGTTCTGCAAACCATTCATTTGCAATGGACCTGGTAGCGGAGAAACGGTCCCTTAAGGCCAATAATCTTAGGCGGCGATCTTCACGGTCTGTTGTTCTACGGCGGCGTCCAGTGCCCCTTACTCTTTGCGTACGGCCTTCTCGAAGCAATGCCTGACAACACCTAACCACAGTGTCTACACTTCTTTGCACTCTAACTGCAATTGCCCGAAAAGAAAGTCCAGCTTCCCGAAGTCCCACTATACGGCCCCTATCAAACTCACTAAGTTGACGAAATCGTACAAGTCTCCGTACTCTAGGCAACGTAACCGATCGTAAAGGATGTCAAGAACCAAAATCCGCCAACGTTGATTCTTTACTGCGGCTGAAATATTCATTTTTAGAGTGTTAGTGAATTAAAAAAAAGCAGTATAAAAACCGGAATGTCCAACTGATAAGGCTGAAAATATTTTGACTTGTTTTCTACAGTAAGATAAATACATTCACCAACTTTTATTAAAATAAAACCATTTAAACTGGGTGTTCGGATTTATATGTCACTTGGTATATATTCAGATTTTCTCAACGAAAACTTACCTACTTCTAGAACTGGAGAAATGTATAAGGTTTTAAATTCCGTTTATTTAAACGGATATATATATTATATGATAAATTTGTGTCATTATGTGGTATAATCATATATTCAATAATAATTAAGAATATATCAAAATATATCAGTATGTATTGTAATGACAATGTTTCGTATGGGTAAATAGCCGCGCACAGGCAATTGCCTTCTGCGGGTGCTCTATGTGTATTTGTTTTGTTCAAGACTAATTCTTTTTTACAAATAAACATTATTATTATTATTATTATTATTTGGGTTTTTAGATAGAAGGATCCCAGAACCGATCTGAACTACGAGTAGCTAATAGCAATGTTTATATACCAAAAAATATTTAATACTACTATTATCAAACCTCTATACTGTAAAGGCCGCTAACCTGTACTCACAGGGTTTTAGGATTAAAACACGCATGTTTGAAGCAAGTAACAAGCTTTGTAAAGAGTAAGTAGACGTAGATCAGAAATTGGCATATGTTACATTGATGCAATTTTGTGCTGCCATATCGTCACTAAAACATTAACTACCCAATTATTCGAAAACTGCACCACTGGATGATATTAATAGCAAAATGAGATACGCGCTAATACATAAAACCATAGTTGACATCTACATGTCTGCCTAGGCACTTAGGAATACTGCAATCCATAATTAGCTCCTTACACGTGCAACGTATATGTTAAAGATTTAGATAAAAAGGATAGGTACCTATTAACAAACATATAAGTCGTAAAATGTGAAAAGTTGCAACACGCACATCATTCGAATTACCACATACAAAAAACGCATGAGGCGCAGTTTAAATTTCGTTAGGAATCATCAGTACCTACCCTAGAAGTGGCAAGAGGATCAACAAACAAAAGCTGAAATGTTATCACAACTATCAAAAAGTTAGACAACATATTTTATAAATGTCTTTTAGAATTTCTTACCAGCATAGAATAGCTCATAGTTGCAAACGAGCCTCGTACAATTTGAGTAAACTTAATATCATTGACATAATTTAACTGCCACTTAACGACTACTTTTTTTCCTAAAATAAGAGAAGTTGCATTTGGTGTACTTCTGATGGTTGTGAAATACCCGAGGAAATATCTCCCTTGAAATATGAACCTTAATGAATATTTAAAGTCGAAAATAAAAGAGTTATTGCAGCTTTAGAGCTTATGTTACGAACAGCGACATATTAATAGAAATCAGACTATAAGTATTGAGTGTTTTAGAAATAGAACCTGTTAAAATAGAACAAACGTGTGGGTCAAGGATTGGGTGTCTAGAATTGTTGTGTTTCTTTTAAATATTTAACAATGAATTTTGTAGTTGATCGTGACAATATAAAATGCATAATAGATTAATAATAAAAAATATTTGCATGCACATACTGTCAATAGTATTTACGTAACTCTATACTTCCTTATTAGAATAATGGTGACTATCTTCACTTATCTTCTCAATGACTGTTAATGTTATATTATAATACAATACACCAAACATCCGCATCTTTTGTTTGTAAATGGCAAACAGAAAATATTCTCACTATTGACTGAGTAGGAGGAAGACAAAGTATATACTTCTACATCTACCTTTATATGTATATGTTTTGTATTGCGTCCTAAGTTTCCGAACCAATTAGAGTATTGATTCTTTATTCAATAATGTTTCTGGAAAATCATACGTGCTTAACCAAGGTCAGCCATGTGTAGCTATTGCTTACAGTCTGATTGGTGAAGTTGAAATGATAATATAATTTATATATAAATTTGTTAACTACGCTGACTACTCCCAGGTAGTGGTGTAAACTGCGTTAAAACTTGTTAACTTTCACACCCAGTTTTCAATTTAAATTTCATACACACTATACATATATTTACATATTTCGAAGAGTTGTAAAAAAGGAGTACTGGGCATAAACACACAACACACCAGCATTCTGCAAAGATCAGTTTTGAATGTGACCTTCTTTTTGTTCAACATTAAAGATACATTTCCTTTACTATATTGGTATTAGAAATGTGACTCTTCGTTGTTTATTCTTAATCAAGCGCGCGCTCAATATAAAGGGTGTTAATAAGGTACGTAGACAAACTTTAACCATCGAATCCTTGGTCAATTTGAAGACTAAATGTTCATATGAACACGGGTCCGTAACGGCTTTCTTTTCGAGCTAGAGCACTATCACTAAAGAAATACGAGTCATGTTCCAAATATTTCTATGAATAATGAAACGTAGGTACTTATTGAACAGTTGGTATAACTTATGATAAATTTCGCATGTTTTACAAGTTGCGGAGGCTCAATATGAATGTGGATGAAAATAACATTATCATGTATTTTTGGAAAAAAATTATTTAGACGGTCAATAGTTTTGAACAGTAACATTCGAAAAGAACGACAACAATAGAAAATATCGAATAGTTTTTTTACAATAAATGATAAAAATGGCCACCTTCGAATTCAATACAGTCGTCTAGTCTGTTACACATTGACTGACGAACTCTCCTGAAAATACAAGGAGTATTTTGTATAGTCAGACATGACTCGACAATTCTGACTCTCAAGTCGTCCACGCTTTATGGTAATGTACTCTAGCTTGAAAACAAATCCGTTGCGGAGGCATGTTCATATGGAAATTTCGTCTTCAAATTGACCAAGGATTCGATGGTTAAACATACTTTATTAACACCCTGTATATTCTGCGTGAGCACAAAAAGGTACAGCTGGCAGCAATACTGAGAATGGCAACATGCAGACGCGTTAAAAGTGGCCCCTTACGAATAAGATTCATATTTTTCCAAGGGGGTGTGAAGTTACGTGCTAAACGAGCACTAAAGTGATACGATCTAGTTCTTTTGGTGTTTGCCAAAATACTAGATAAGTGCACTCTATAGTTTCGACGTAACTGCATGCTCATCCTGTGCCAGATGTTTGTACAACAAAACAAACATTGTACCATAGCTAACGGAACCAGAAGCTTGCGCGTAATCCGCTTCTGCGAATCCATTTATCGTACTTAATGGCACAATTAATTTTTATCCGCAGAACAAGTTGCGGTAAAGCGGCCAAATCCCAAAAGTGAAACGGGACCAGCCGTCTGGTTTAAAAATACCGCGTGAGCTTGTCTGCATGTTCTGCTCACGATACTTTACTCCTCATTAAAAGAAATGGAATCGGGTCATCTTATATACACCAAACGGATGTTAAGGTATGTTTACACGACGTGACATTACACATTGGGCATTTATAAAAAATGACACCTCTTTAGACTGTTTTAGACTACACAATTTCTTGTACAAGATTTGGTTCAATTTCTTGTTCAGAATATATTCTGTAGTATCATGCAGCAAATTGGTTGAAAAGCTTAAATTGAACAAGAAATTGTTTGGAAAATGGAAGATATTCTATTTTTCATTCAGGCCCGGCGCATGCTAGTTATCATAGCTTCTCCAAGATTATACCTAACCTCACTTGTTTGTTTTTGTTTTGGTTGTGCGCGTCGCCGTTGGGTAGTGAATTTTTTATTTTCGTTAGTTAATATCAGCTTTCTTTTTAAACAGGTAAGAAAATATTATTTAAGACTCGATCTCGTCATTGTAATAACTGATATTCATTTAACGATATCTTGGTCCAGCAAGCAAGATGATGGGATCCTATCACCAATCACAGAAAGACCTGAAAGTGGTCTTTCTAAAATCCCTGACATCCTACAAGGACCATGCATAAATGACATTCACAAGCGAGCAACACCATATGCAAGAAGTGGTAGCAGCACACTGAAAGGATGAAGAAAAATGAAATTCAGACACGCAAAGATGTCTCTGCTAGCCTTGGCAGCCTATCTGCAGCTCTGCAGAAAGGTGAAACTGCTGCCACGGTCACAGCAGATGATCTCATAGGTCAGTTTGTGGCAGCACAGTAAAAAAAATCACGAATGATGATATTAAGCAAGATGTTTATACAGAGACAAAAATTGTTAAGAGATGCAATAAAAAAGAGATAAAATGTATGTATATTTTATTCAATTAATATAGCCCTATTTTGAAAAGATACTTCTTTCTCCAGTAGTACTGGAGTACCTGCATAATAGGTTTATAATGTTAACAGCTTCAGAAGCATCTCTTGTTCCTCCTTGTTGAGAAAGACGATCTAAGTTACAGCTTTCATTATCCATTTCTATATAATGCTTACTATGAGAGAAAACACAACATGCTAGTGTTTTTGTCTCAACCTTTTTATGGATCTAAATTTATTGTTCCTCTGAGAATCCTAAATCTGTATTAACATTCCAAAGGCATTTTCAACAGTTCTTCTTGCTCTTGATCGGCGATAGACAAAAATTAATTTTTCATTGGATAATCCACATTGAGGATTAGGCTTTATAGTTTTATTAGTCAGTGGGAAGGCATCAAGCACAAAGGGAAATGCCGCATGATGTAGAACTCATGCTACTTTTTTCCATTCTTTAGGGGCGCTAAAAAATGTGTAATAGTTATGTAAATATATGATGCTCCCATGTATGTTACCTTAATGTATGCAGATCTAAAAATGAATTACCACTAGCTAAATATCACAGTGTCACAGCCAAGCTAGAAGCAAAGCCATCATAATTTTTTTTCACATGACACAATGCTGATAATATCGCCTATTTTCTGCAGTTATACATTGTCTTAAGTGTGTATCTTGCTTTGCAATATCAGGAAGAATAATAGGCAGCAATTTATTAAAACATTCATTATCTATTCTTAAAAACTCTTCATATATGTTTGGGTCCTCAAGAAATAGATCTTCTCTCAACATGATCAACTTTTCGCGGCCTTCTTCTCTTTTCAGCCACTCCTCTTGCCACTTTTTTCGTTAATTTGCGAGTCTCTTAATTCGCCCGTGCAAAATAGACACCCAGAGATGTAGCTGCTAAGGCAATGTTTCTTTCCAGCTTCATAGTACAGACCAGTTAATAGCATAAAGTTAACCAAATCAGAATTATTTTTGTCAACTCAAAATAATAATAATAATCCCGCTTTATTTATACAAAGTATAAAAAGCGAAGTGTCGCTAAAAAGCGTTTTTCAACTTAACCCAACAAATATTTGTGTAAATTTTCTAAAACCAATGAAAACAAAAAAGAAAAACCGGTAACGAGTCCCTATTCATGGCCATGGCCTACTTACTGGGCAATGAAATCAGAGATAAAATGCTTCAATCTTTATTTGAAATTCTTTATAGAGTGAGTAGTGAGTGAACTCGGTAGGCAACGCGTTGTATAGCTTGATAGCAGTATAAATGCACGACCTTTTAAATAGAGATGTTGAATGTCTCGGGATAACCAAGAGATGCGTATTGTTTGTATTCAGTTGATTAACATCTGAGTATCTGATAAATTTGGTTGATAGATATGGAGCGGCGTGTGTTGTGATTACTTTATGGGTCAAGGTCAATACGCGCATTTTTTGTAGCTCTTCTATTTTTTGAACACTCAGCTCACGATATTTATGTGATACTGTCTCAAATTTTCTCACTCCACAAGCAAATCAGAGACGCGCATTTTGAATAGTCTGAAGTCTCCTTTTCTCAAGCGATCTGAGTGCAGGTCCATAAATACAGTCACAGTAGTGAATTCTAGACCATATTAAGGTTTCGCACAACGTTAGTTGGAGACCAGTATTCATTCTTTTCCTATGAGGAAATAATTGCTTCAAGACACCGAATGATGTTCGGCACAGTTCACTAACATGTTTTCCAAACCTCAAATCAGAATCAATCCAGAGTCCTAAATTCTTGCGCCCATGCAATCACTTTTTGTTTTTAATTTTTGACAATTCGATGACACTTTGTGAGTGACACTGACAACTTTGACATTTACACATTGATTCTTGACAGGCAGAATCTTAATGCGCAGAATCGCCAACTATTACTTGAACAATAAATTGTTTGAATGTAAAACAGCATTTTTAGACGAAAGAATTTTTCATTCAAGATCTTGTTCAAGAAATTGAACCAAATCTTGTATAAGAAATTGTGTAGTCTAAAACAGTCTTTAGGAAAAAAGTTACTTTAATATACAGGGTGTTTTCTAAGTGAATGTTAATATTTAAGGGAGCGATG